ACTAACGTTAGTGATTTCATTATTTATTCTGTTAAATATGTTGGCATCATCACAGGTTTATTAATATCATTTATATTTTAACCTCAGGTCATCATCACTGATTTATTAATATGTAAACCTCAGGTCATCATCACTAATTTATTAATATATTTAATATGTTAAACTCAGGTCATCATCACTGATTTATTAATATTATTAATATGTTAACCTCAGGTCATCATCAATGATTTATTAAAATTATGAGTATGTTAACCTCGGGTCATAATCACTGATTTATTAATATTATTAATATGTTAAACTCAGGTCATCATCACTGATTTGTTAATATGTTAACCTCAGGTCATCATCACTAATTTATTAATATATTTAATATGTTAACCTCAGGTCATCATCACTGATTTATTAATATTATTAATATGTTAACCACAGGTCATCATGACTGATTTATTAAAATTATGAATATGTTAACCTCAGGTCATCATCACTGATTTATTAATATTATTAATATGTTAACCTCAGGTCATCATCACTGATTTATTAATATTATTAATACGTCATCATCACTGATTTATTAATATGTTAACCTCAGGTCATCATCACTGATTTATTAATATTATTAATACGTCATCATCACTGATTTATTAATATGTTAACCTCAGGTCATCATCACTGATTTATTAATATTATTAATACGTCATCATCACTGATTTATTAATATGTTAACCTCAGGTCATCATCACTGATTTATTAATATTATTAATATGTTATCCTCAGGTCATCATCGCTGATTTATTAATATTATTAATGTGTTAACCTCAGGTCATCATCACTGATTTATTAATATGTTAACCTCAAGTTATTATCACTGATTTATTATTAATAATAATATGTTAACCTCAGGTCATCATCACTGATTTATTAATATTATTAATACATTAACCACAGGTCATAATCACTGATTTATTAATGATAACATATTAACCACAGGTCATTATCACTGATTTATTAATATTATTAATATGTTAACCACAGGTCATCATCACTGATTTATTAATATTGTTAATATCTTAACCTCAGGTCATCATCGCTGATTTATAAATATTGTTAATATCTTAACCTCAGGTCATCATCACTGATTTATTAATATTTAATCAACCTCAGGTCATCATCGCTGATTTATTAATATTGTTAATATCTTAACATCAGGTCATTATCACTGATTTATTAATATGTTAACCTCAGGTTATCATCACTGATTTATTAATAATAATAATATGTTAACCTCAGGTCATCATCACTGATTTATTAATATTATAAATACGTTAACCACAGGTCATGATAATTGATTTATTAATATTATTAATATGTTAACCTCAGGTCATCATAGCTGATTTATTAATATTATTAATACTTTAACCTCAGGTCATCATCACTGATTTATTAATATTTGTTAACCTCAGGTCATCATAACTGATTTATTAATATTATTAATACGTCATCATCACTGATTTATTAATATGTTAACCTCAGGTCATCATCACTGATTTATTAATATTAATAATATCTTAACCTCAGGTCATCATCACTGATTTATTAATAGGTTAACCTCAGGTTATCATCACTGATTTATTAATAATAATAATATGTTAACCTCAGGTCATCATCACTGATTTATTAATATTATTAATACGTTAACCACAGGTCATAATCACTGATTTACTAATGTTAACATGTTAACCACAGGTCATCATCACAGATTTATTAATATTATTAATATGTTAACCTCAGGTCATCCTCACTGATTTATTAATATTATTAATATGTTAACCTCAGGTCATCCTCACTGATTTAATAATATTATTATTATGTTAGCCTCAGGTCATCTCTGATTTATTAATATTATAAACATGTTAACCTCAGGTCATCATCACTGATTTATAATTATTATTAACACGTCATCATCACTGATTTATTAATATGTTAACCTCAGGTCATCATCACTGATTTATTAATATTAATAATATCTTAACCTCAGGTCATCATCACTGATTTATTAATATGTTAACCTCAGGTTATCATCACTGATTTATTTATAATAATAATAATATGTTAACCTCAGGTCATATTCACTGATTTATTAATATTATTAATACGTTAATCACAGGTCATAATCACTGATTTACTAATGTTAACATGTTAACCACAGGTCATCATCACTGTTTTATTAATATTATTATTATGTTAACCTCAGGTCATCATCCCTGATTTATTAATATTAACATGTTAACCTCAGGTCATCATCACTGATTTATTAATATTATTATTAATACGTCATCATCACTGATTTATTAATATGTTAACCTCAGGTCATCATCACTGATTTATTAATATTATTAATACGTCATCATCACTGATTTATTGATATTATTAATATGTTAACCTCAGGTCATCATCACTGATTTATTAATATTATTAATATGTTAACCTCAGGTCATCATCACTGATTTATTAATACGTCATCATCACTGATTTATTAATATGTTAACCTCAGGTCATCACTGATTTATTAATATTATTAATATGTTAACCTCAGGTCATCATCACTGATTTATTAATATTAATAATATCTTAACCTCAGGTCATCATCACTGATTTATTAATATTAATAATATCTTAACCTCAGGTCATCATCACTGATTTATTAATATGTTAACCTCAGGTTATCATCACTGATTTATTTATAATAATAATATGTTAACCTTAGGTCATATTCACTGATTTATTAATATTATTAATACGTTAATCACAGGTCATAATCACTGATTTACTAATGTTAACTTGTTAACCACAGGTCATCATCACTGTTTTATTAATATTATTATTATGTTAACCTCAGGTCATCATCCCTGATTTATTAATAATATTAACATGTTAACCTCAGGTCATCATCACTGATTTATTAATATTATTATTAATACGTCATCATCACTGATTTATTAATATGTTAACCTCAGGTCATCATCACTGATTTATTAATGTTATTAATATGTTAACCTCAGGTCATCATCACTGATTTATTAATATTATTAATACATCATCATCACTGATTTATTAATATTAATATGTTAACCTCAGGTCATCATCACTGATTTATTAATATTATTAATACGTCATCATCACTGATTTATTAATATGTTAACCTCAGGTCATCATCACTGATTTATTAATATTATTAATACATCATCATTACAGATTTATTAATATCTTAACCTCAGGTAATCATCACTAATTTATTAATATTAATAATATCTTAACCTCATGTCATCATCACTGATTTATTAATATGTTAACCTCAGGTTATCATCACTGATTTTTTAATAATAATAATATGTTAACCTCAGGTCATCATCACTGATTTGTAATATTATTAGTACGTTAACTTCAGGTCATCATCTCGGATTTATTAAAATCATCTTTTAAAAATCATATATATACACACACACACATATGTGTGTGTGTGTGTGTGTGTTTTTACATAAAAACAAGCAATAAATATTTTGTTCAGACTTCCTTAACTCTTTAATACCTAATAAACTCTTTAAGTCTGTTTAAAGCTGAAATTTTAAACACATGTTAAGGATTGAGCTTCTAGATTGTAGTTTTGTGTAAAACCATTTCAGATTTACTAGGCCCAGCAGCACAAACTCTCTTATGGCATGGAAAAGTAGCAGTTTTTGGAGATGTTATAGTGTTTTATTAAACGTGATGTGTTTTATTGTAATATTAACATAGTACAAACTTTTCAGCCTGTTGTCTTGTCCCTTTATCAAGAAGTCAATTTATCAACTAGAAAATGAAAATCTAGCATCTTTTGTAATTTTGTATAACAGGCAACTCGTGATTGCAAGTAACATTATTGTTTGTTTGTTTTTCAGGAGGAGCATTGAACAAGATAAATGTGCAAAACCTGGGCCCTGAATCATGCTTTGATTTGGCAACTCATTTCTTGGAACCTCTCGCAGTTGATGTTTTCTTTTCCTTTCTAGAGGACTGCCTGAAATAAGCTTAGTACACAACTAAGGTGGTAAACAAAAACAAAACTCAGATTACGTTTTTACAATTAGAATTTTATTTCATTTTAGACAGTTGTTCTATTGTAAATGTTATGTTCTAAACTGATATCAGATATACTGTACAAAATAAAATTTAAAAAAAACTTGTTTTCTTTGCGTTTTCTTCTTGGTTTAATAGCAAAACCGACATCTAGGGTCAGTTCTTCGTACGTGGATTACTCAGTTAGCTGGATTTGGATAATGACGATTTGACACGATTCAGGATCGTTTCGTTCTTCAAAACTGATCCGAGAGTTGTTGTCATAGCAACAGTTCTGGTAGCTCAAACCTGGTCGGGAGCAGGTTCAATTAATATAAACAGGATTAGATCGGGTCAGTTCAAGCAAAGATAATACAGAAAGAATGTACCAGATTCTGACATTCTTACAGTAGTGGTTTTATACACTTGGGAAAATAGTAAATATTTTTTAACTATATATATATATATATATATATATATATATATATATATATATATATATATATATATATATATATATATATATATATATACACACACACACACACACATATACATACACACACACACACAACAATTCTGTCTGGATTTTGAATTGGCTGATAGCCGTGATATATTTAAGTAATTTAAGCATCCGTACTACCTTTTTACCCTTTGTGTATAACTCCGCCCACATACAGCAGACACTACAGTTTGACAAATATTATTGCTGTTACACAACAAAATATACTTTTGAGGCTTTTTTTAGTTGAGAATGTAGTTGTTTTGATTGCAACTATGCAGTTTATTTGCAAGAATAGTGCTTATTTTAAAATATTTACAATTTCTGAGAGACAGCTCGTCGTCGACAGTTGACGTTTTCTATCCACAAGATGGCGACAGAACCGCATAATAAGTCCTTACGGCTGTTTCACACCTGCAAATCTTTATTTTACAAATTTTATAGATCAAACAGTCCTGTATGCTTCTCAAACTCTATGAGGAGTACGTCAGAAGACAATCGCCAGTGATATTTGGTTTTTGATTGACAGGATGTTGTAAGCCTATAGTTATATCTATACAGTAGTTATAATGATATTTATACATAATCCACTTCAGTAATGTCCAGCGGCAGAGTAACTGCATGTTAATTTATGCTCGTGCAAAGGATGAGACGGATAAAAGTGATCAATGCATGCCCTTCTTTTACTTATTTTCGTGTTGTCAGGTTCACAGTGCAAACAGCTCCCAGGTGAAATAACTTGAGCGAACAAAGCAAAGCCGAATAAAGCTTTCTTCCTCTGCTTAAGCAGCACAGCACACAGTGAGTTCACATCATCCAGCATGGGTGTCGAACTACACTACCCACAATACGCTTTGCTATGGACTACAATTCCCGTAAATCACTTCCCCTCTCCAACAAAACTGATACTAAAACTGTTTTACTATTGGTTTTGTAGTTCGAGCCGAAATAAAGGTTTGTTGCAGTTTTTATTAGTTTAAGTTCATTTGATTGACTATATGTAAATCAGTTTATATTATTGACATTTATTGGGTAAAATTGTTACTTTTTACTGTTATTCAATGTATTTAGGTCATTATCAATGCACTGTCACTTTAATTGAGCGTGAGCAGCGCTATCGCTGCACTGCTGCTTCAGCGATGCTCACGGCTCACTGACACGCTGCTGCGTGCGGTAAGAAAGTTCTAATCTGTTAACATGGATGCCAAAAAAACACGCGCCGCTGACGCTTGCGGTGTGAAACAGGCGTTACGTTTAAAAGATATAATAGTCTTATTTCTAACTATAGCAGATCAAATATTAAACTGGTGAGCACACCTGCCAACACTTGCGTTTTTCATGGGGGTTTATCGCGTATTTCAGACCAGTCACCCTGTTTGTGTCAGAGTCTCTGTTTATAGCATCTTCCAAAGTTAGACCACAGATGACCAATTGTCTCCCAGTTGTTCCTGAAGTACTTGCAGACATATTTGAAGTTCCTAAACTGGCAGTGAAACATCTCAGCCTTTTCCTTAAATTCTTGTGCCTGTAAAAATTGACAAGGAAAATCATGTTTCATGATGTTAGCATAAGAACTGCTGTAGATTTTTAGCTCATTAAATAATCCTTCACACAGACATATACCCCAGTGTGTATGGTAAATCTACTGAGAATCTTTATTGTTCTTATACTGTCTAAATCACTGTAGGTCTATGACTGGATAAAACAACATAACATAATACTATTTGCAGTAACTAAAACAGACCCACCAAACAATCCATGTTTATAACAAAAAAGAAAAGTTGCAAAGTTATCATAAATTATAAAATCATAGTTTCACATTTAATCAAATTATTATAAATTTAATCAATTCCTTTTGGACTATGTAAGATCCATGATCTGAAATGTTATTCAGAACAGAATTAAAATATATCTTTATTTAAAACAAAAACATTTAGCTCATGCTGTAAAATGTACTTTAAACTGACCTAAAAAGGTATTAATTAAGGTTGTTAATATAAATGGAATGCTTACAAATGTGTGTAAAATATGTAAAGTTAATCTATGAAACTCTGCACACCTAGCCTAGTTTATTTCTGAACACAGTTGATAAGCAGCATAAATTCATTTTTGAAGGAGAGTAATTGTGTGTGAGTGAGAAGAGGCCAGATGCAAGTGTTATCTGAAAATTTCTCTTAAAATTAGAATTTTTTCTACAGCTCCTGTGTGTAGGTTCTGTAATTGAACTTTAATGGTAAGGTGTGTTTTTACATTGCCTTTAAAGTTAAATAACAGCATAAACAATAAAGGCTGGAAAATATGCTAATTTTCAGCGTACGACAGTAGAATGTAGTTTGGGTAACTTTATTGACGTTGCTAGCAATCGTTCTTCTCAATATCATTCTTTTTGGTAAAAATAAAATGAGGGGATAAGGATGTACATATTCATATTTACTTTAACATGTTCAATACAGCCAACAGTAAAATTTTACTAATGCACATTTATCCAAATCTTAATATGTATATGAGGAAAATCTATTCATGAGACCATTTGAATCGAATATTAGCAAAACTATCATATTTACACAAACATGTGTAAGCCATAAAAAGGTGTTTGTACAACAAAGTACAGGGGGTATAAAACGGATTATAATCAAATGACCCTTGAATATTTACAAAAATAGAGCGCTTGCGGACATATTTTTCAATGTTTAAATCAGCCCCGGAAATAATCTGCATGTGTTACTCTTGACCGCACACTGAGAGAAATCGAAAGTAACCCTGTCACTTAAAATGTAACTTTAAATGTCCAGTAGGTGGGGAGTCAAAACCAGAAGTATGTGATAGCACAACAATGATAGCGATTCAAAAATATATGTTTTGATGGGCTGAATATCATTATATTTTTGATGTCAGTTGTGGGCCGGATGGAGGAGGCAGGGCCGCAAATGGTTTGAGGGTCGGCAGTTTGAGACCTGACTTAGAGGCTTTTGCATCTGAACTCTTCATACTGTATGTGGTTACCATTTTATATTAGCTGTCATTAACATAATTTTTTCACATATTAATAATGCATGTTACAAGCTTGTTACCAAAGTAGAATGACACATTAGAACATACAATTGTACTATAAGGGTGCTTTCACACCTGTGAATTGATTTAGTTGTTCCGAAAAAGAGATTAAAAATGTTAACATTGTTGCTCTTTGCTCTTGGAGCGGTTCACTTTCAGACTGCAAAATTTCTAATCGGACCAAAAGAGCTAATACAAGTCAAGTGCGAGTAAACTCTCCTCACATTGGTCAGAGTGCCAGGGTTTTTTTTGCAGCGTTCTGCTCAGCTGTCAGGGGGAGGTGGTGGTTTGGTGGTGATTGACGAGGCGCGCACGCGCGACGTGTCTGAGGAGAGATGCGGTGGGGAGGGGTGAGAAGGGTGCGCGACGATGCCTATTTGAGGACCGGGAGGGTGATGCGAGATTACGGGGAGGTCATCACTCGTTTTCGGGCATCCGGAGACTTGCGAAACTTCCCACCCTACTCATAATTCTCTCTTCATATAGCCGTATGCCTATCACATATCCATAAAACACTGTAATAACCGTGCTCGGATCGGATCGCTTTCTCACTGCAAACGAACCACTCCAGGGTTCGTTTCAATCAAGCCGAGACTACCTCACTCAGGCGGTCTCGGAGCGATTACTTTGGCGTGGAATAGAGCGCAATTGCCTTGTTCACATATGCCAAACGAACCGCGCTAACTGGGCAAACAAGACAGGTTCTGAAACAAAAGTATAGGTGTGAAAGCACCCTAAAACAAATAGCAACACACCTTTGAACAGCATTTCATCTCTGACATAAACTGTATGATGTGCGCTCTTGAATCTGTCTTTTCAGGTCCATTCACACCAGATTCAGATATTGACAGCCAACGAGTTACTGCCTGTGTGTAATAAATGGTGGAAAAACGTAACACAACATATTTAATATGGTCAGAACTTCCATGACACATTCGACATTATTAGGATCAAGTATTATAAGCTTCAAGTTAAGGGGTACTCAAATCAAAGTAAAAACAATATATGTTATTGCTATAGCTCAGCAAAAGTTTGAACTTTTTTTTTTGCTTAAGTGCATCGATGACTGACATAAACACACATTAATACCCAGATAATGTCAAGTAATATTACAGTATGTTGTGTGACATGTTGCAATGTGAAATAAGCTTAAGCTCAATCCACTGATTCCTTAGCAACTGAAGATAAAAAAAAAAATGTGAATGGTAATACTGTTAGAGATTTACATAAAAAATATATTAATATGACAGTTGATAAAAATAGAATATGAATCTATAAAATGAGGAAAAACAAAAGCAGTATCATAACTTAGTACTTACTTGCGTTACATGGTACCAACAAAGGAGAATGTCTGACTCGTTGAACACCTTACGGATGGCATTGACTTCAGCCTGGTCTTTATCAACCATAAAACACCTAAAAAATAAATACTATAAACTTTAAGATAGAGAAAACAAATACAAAATATTACAAATGTTTGCTCTCCAAAGAATGCATTTTGTTGTTTACTGTTATTTACCTTCTCTAGAAAAAACTATTTTTGCAATGCATGAAATCAACATTTAGCAAATACCAATTTTGACCCGAATTTGCTAATATAAAGTAAAAATTCACAATATTAACATTGATGACCTGAGGTTAACGTATTATTAATAAATCAGTGATGATGACCTGAGGTTAGCATATTAATATTAATAAATCAGTGATGATGACCAGTATATTAATAAATCAATGATGATGACCTGAGTTTATTGTATTAATGATATTAATAAATCAGCGATGATAACCTGAGGTTAACGTATTATTAAAATGAATAAATCAGTGATGATGACCTGAGGTTAACGTATTAATAATATTAATAAATCAGAGATTAAGACCTGTGGTTAACGTAGTAATAATATTAATAAATCAGTGATAGTGACCTGAGGTTAACATATGAATAATATTAATAAATCCGTGATGATGACCTGAGGTTAACAAATTAAAATGAATAAATCAGTGATGATGACCTGAGGTTAACACATTAATAATATTAATAAATCAGTGATGATGACCTGAGGTTAACATGTTAATTATATTAATAAATCAGTGATGACCTGAGGTTAACATGTTAATTATATTAATAAATCAGTGATGACCTGAGGTTAACATGTTAATAATATGAATAAATCAGTGATGACCTGAGGTCAACATGTTAATAATATTAATAAATCAGTGATGATGACCTGTGGTTAACATATTAATAATATTAATAAATCAGTGATGATGACCTGAGGTTAACATATTAATAATATTAATAAATCAATGATGACCTGAGGTTAACCAGGGCTCTACAGTAAGGAATTCCCGATGGCCCGGGGCCAGTGTGAGAGATGCTCGGGACAGTAGACAGAATTGTTACTGGCCCGATCGGGGCAGTGCTGCCTTGTCACTAAATTTTAATAGACGGCAACATGACCGCGACATTAAATTATGAGGCTAAAGGAAATGTCTGTTTCTAACTTTGTGGAAACATTTAAATGGGTACAGCATGACGAAAAAATGTGATGTTTTGCTTAGTTTGCCGTCACTTTTAAGTCAGCCACCTTTTGTTTTGCAATAAAATACGTGCACGTTTTCCATACTGCTATATTTTACTGCTAAATATTTTTCAAATATTTAAATTCTACAACTACTGACATTAATTTCATTCATTCATTTTCTTTTCGGTTTTGTCCCTTTATTAATCTGGGGTCGCCACAGTGGAATGAACCGCCTGACATTATTTCGTGAAACATTATTTAATATATGTGGCTAACTTTTTTATTTCTTTTATTGGGCCAGTGAAAATTTTGGCAGGGCAAGTAAAAATCTGAACCACTGGTCCAATCGGGCCAGTAGAAAAAATCCTTAGCGTTGAACCCTGTTAACATATTAATATTAATTAATCAATCAGTGATGATGACCTGAGGTTAATGTATTAATAATATTAATAAGTCAGTGATGATGACCTGGGGTTAACATATTAATAATATTAATAAATCGACGACCTGAGGTTAACGTATTAATAAATCAGTGATGATGACCTGAGGTTAACATATTAATAATATTAATAAATCCTTGATGATGACCTGAGGTTAACAAATTATAATTAATAAATCAGTGATGATGACCTGAGGTTAACACATTAATAATATTAATAAATCAGTGGTGATGACCTGAGGTTAACATATTAATAATATGAATAAATCAGTGATGACCTCAGGTTAACATGTTAACTATATTAATAAATCAGTGATGATCTGAGGTCAACATATTAATAATATAAATAAATCAATGCTGATGACCTGTGGTTAACATAATAATAATATTAATAAATCAGCGATGATGACCTGAGGTTAATATAATAATAATATGAATAAATCAATGATGACCTGAGGTTAACATATTAATAATATTAATAAATCAATGATGACCTGAGGTTAACATATTAATATTAATTAATCAATCAGTGATGATGACCTGGGGTTAACATATTAATAATATTAATAAATCGACGACCTGAGGTTAACGTATAAATAAATCAGTGATGATGACCTGAGGTTAACATATTAATAATATTAATAAATCAGTGATGATGACCTGAGATTAACGCATTAATAATATAAATAAATCAGTGATGATGACCTGTGGTTAATGTATTAATAATATTAACAAATCAGTGATGATGACCTGAGGTTAACATATTATTTATATTAATAAATCAGTGATGATGACCTGAGATTAACGCATTATTATTATAAATAAATCAGTGATGATGACCTGTGGTTAACGTATTAATAATATTAATAAATCAGTGATGATGACCTGAGGTTAACATATTAATAATATTAATAAATCAGTGATGATGACCTGAGGTTAACATATTAATAAATCAATGATGACCTCAGGTTAACATGTTAACTATATTAATAAATCAGTGATGATCTGAGGTCAACATATTAATAATATAAATAAATCAATGCTGATGACCTGTGGTTAACATAATAATAATATTAATAAATCAGCGATGATGACCTGAGGTTAACATAATAATAATATGAATAAATCAATGATGACCTGAGGTTAACATATTAATAATATTAATAAATCAATGATGACCTGAGGTTAACATATTAATATTAATTAATCAATCAGTGATGATGACCTGGGGTTAACATATTAATAATATTAATAAATCGACGACCTGAGGTTAACGTATAAATAAATCAGTGATGATGACCTGAGGTTAACATATTAATAATATTAATAAATCAGTGATGATGACCTGAGATTAACGCATTAATAATATAAATAAATCAGTGATGATGACCTGTGGTTAATGTATTAATAATATTAATAAATCAGTGATGATGACCTGAGGTTAACATATTATTAATATTAATAAATCAGTGATGATGACCTGAGATTAACGCATTATTATTATAAATAAATCAGTGATGATGACCTGTGGTTAACGTATTAATAATATTAATAAATCAGTGATGATGACCTGAGGTTAACATATTAATAATATTAATAAATCAGTGATGATGACCTGAGGTTAACATATTAATAAATCAATGATGACCTGAGGTTAACATATTAATATTAATTAATCAATCAGTGATGATGACCTGAGGTTAATGTATTAATAATATTAATAAGTCAGTGATGATGACCTGGGGTTAACATATTAATAATATTAATAAATCAGTGATGATGACCTGAGGTTAACGTATTAATAATATTAATAAATCAGTGATGATGACCTGAGGTTAACATATTAATAAATCAGTGATGATGACCTGAGGTTAACATATTAATGATATTAATAAATCAGCGATGATAACTTGGGGTTAACAAATTACTAATAATAATACATCAGTGATGATGACCTGAAGTTAACATATTAATAATATAAACAAATCAGTGATGATGACCTAAGGTTAACATCTTAATATTAATAAATCAATGATGACCTGAGGTTAACATATTAATAATATAAATAAATAAGTGATGATGACCTGAGGTTAACATTTTAATATTAATTATTCAATCAGTGATGATGACCTGTAACGTATTAGTAATATTAATAAATCAGTGATGATGATGTATTAATAATATTAATAAATCAGTGATGATGACCTGTGGTTAAAGTATTAATAATAATAATAATAAATCAGTGATGATGACCTGAGGTTAACGTATTATTAATATTAATAAATCAGTGATGATGACATGAGATTAACGCATTAATATTAATAAATCAGTGATGATGACCTGTGGTTAACGTATTAATAATATTAATAAATCAGTGATGATGACCTGAGGTTAACGTATTAATAATATTAATAAATCAGTGATTATGACCTGAGGTTAACATATTAATAATATTAATAAATCAGTCATGATGACCTGAAGTTAACATATTATTATTAATAAATCAGTGATGATGACCTGAGGTTAACGTATTATTAATATTAATAAATCAGTGATGATGACATGAGATTAACGCATTAATAATATTAATAAATCAGTGATGATGACCTGAGATTAACGTATTAATAATATTAATAAATCAGTGATGATGGCCTGAGATTAACACACATACATATATATATATATATATATATATATATATATATATATATATATATATATATATATATATATATATATATATATAAGCGATCATGACCTGAGGTCAACATAATTAACAGAATAATTAAATTATATCACTAACGTTAGTTGAATTTTGCAGCGATTCACAGTAGATAAGTTAACACCTCAAATAACGTTACTGTACTAACGTTACTGTCTTGTGTTTAAACTAGTGCTGTTTTGGTCCACATTACATGACCATACATAATACATGCTAAAAACCGAATTATTAGAAAAAATGGCGCTAAGTTAGCAAGAGGGCAAGTTTAGTCGCGTTTAATAACGTTTGCTAGATTTAAATATTCAAAAAAATACTGTTAGCTTGTTTTAATTAATACCAGAAAGTAAGTCACAGTAACGGTAGAGCAGCACGCTAATCTAACGTTAGGTAGGGACGGCTAATTAGGCTAACTTAATGCAAACAAAAGTTAAACGTTGCTCGTTCACTTCGCTGGAAAAAAGGGACAAATCCATAAACACATACGAATTTTACAATCATTACTGCTTCTGTAAACTTACAGAAGAAAACCGGTGATCTCACCTCTTCACTTGTCCTCTTCACCTGTCCTCTTCACTGGTGAAAATGGCAGTTGCCTGTGTGTGGGTGGGTGTGTTTTCTTATTTGAATTTGCGTTTTTTGGCGGACTCTGCAGGAGGCTCATAATGATGATGTAATAACATTTGATTGGCTGATAGAGATGTTGTCCCTGGGTGATCATAAAATATGTTGGTCTCAGGACAACTAGCACTTGGCAAAATCAGGACGAGCGAAAAGGGAGCAATACATCAAAATCCTCAACAGCAGCATCAGGCAGTCTGCAAAAAAAATAAAAATAAGAATAATAAACGTGGCCTTGAGAACCAGTGGACATTTCAGCACGACAACAACCAAAAACATACAGCAAACGTATGAAAAATGGCTAGCAGACAAAGATATTAACCTTTTAAAGTGGCCCAGCCAGAGTCCTGACTTAAATCCAATTGAGAACAGTGGATGGAGCTAAAAATCAGGGTAAAGAAGACCCTTCAGCCTAATAAAGTTGGAGCTCATCGCTAAAGATGAATAGGAAAACATAGCAATGGAGACATGCAAAAAGCTGATGGGTAATTATTGGAAGCGTTTGATTGCTGTAATAGCCAAAGGCTTTTCTGTTGTTTATTTAGAATTGTTTTGTACATGCCACCTTTTTTCAAATGTAATTAAAAGCTGAGAAATATTTTTTTATTTTCCATCAGGCTCCCTGAAAAACAACCATAATGGCAATTTTTTTTAACCATTATGACTTTCATAATGAGTCACATTACGGCCTTGACTTGCTTGACTTTCTGAGTTTTTTGTGACTGTCAGTTTTTTTTTTTTTTTATGGCAATCTTAAAAATGAATTAGAAGTTGATTATTACACTGATTAGCGTTTTTCCCATTTAAAAAAAAGTTTATTCAAGTTTTGTGATTTCGAATGTGTCCTGGTGGGCATTTACCATGGGTATCATGCTTGCATATTGCGCTGTTGTCTCTAATGGCAATGTGTACTGATGGTAAATGTGCACCCTGTCCTGATGTGGGAGAAAATACATGAACAAATGAATTAAGTAATTTCTACAGTTTTTTGAACATGAAAGTGTTTATTGAGCTTTGTATGATTACTGTTGAACCACTGAAGTCACGCAGAATGTTTTGGTCTGAATGTTTCAATATCAATGAGGGGATATTTTGTGTTCTGAAGATGAACATAACGTGGCTAAATAATAACATTTTTTTTTTTCTTTTTGGGTGAACTAATCTTTTTAAAAAAAAGTTCTGTAAAGGCTTAGAATTTTTTGTCAATTAATTTCAGTGGTTCCCAATTTTCCAAACATCAACCCATCTTTTTTATTGAAGTAAACTGTGTGGCTTGAAACTGTTCTTTCAATTAAAAGTGTGTCAAAAAATAAAAAAAAGGCAACTGCAACAATCAAGAGTGGAGACTGGACAGGGGACAAAACATGGTGTTTGTTGTGAAAGTTGTGTATAAGCAGTGTTGCTAACTATTTACAATTAAAAGTAGTTAAAGCCTGCCTGAAAAGTAGCTAAATGTTGCCGGGTAACGTCATACACTAATTTGCAAATCAGTGATGTCATCATGAAGTATCTGACAAGCTTAAACCTGTCCTGTCTACTCTCTCTGAGGTGCCGTGTATTATATTATATTAAAACATTACATCCAGATACACAATAAATAGATTCTTATTTACATATCACTTTGCATGATAATGTCATTGCGTAATAACAACTCAAAACAAACAACTTTATATAGTATACAAAATAATTAATGTTTTCTCAAATTGACTGGCCATCTCAGCAAAAACATTATTTGAAATATGTCCATTTAGATGTTTATGAAAAATAAAGTAAACTACATTTGGAACAACAATATGGACTATTTGTAAAAGTAATACGTTCATTTTCTTTTCGGCTTAGTCCCTTTATTAATCTGGGGTTACCTCAGTGGAATGAACCGCCAGCTTATCCAGCATGTTTTTATGCAGCGTATGCCCTTTCAGCCACAACCCATCACTGGGAAACAACCATACACACTCATACACTATGGAAAATTTAGCCTGTACCCAATTCACCTGTACAACATGTCTTTGGACTGCAGGTGAAACCAGAGCACCTGGAGGACACCCACGTGAACACAGGGAGAACATGCAAACTCCACACAGAAACGCCAACTGACCCAGCCGACGCTCGAACCAGTGACCTTCTTGCTGTGAGGCGACAGCACTACCTACTGCGCCACTGTGTCACCAAAAGTAATACAATTATTATTTTTTGTATAACACTGATAGCGAACAGTTACATTCTTTTAAACAATCACAGCTTGTGTACTTACTCTTTTTAACTTGTGAAATTAACACATTTGTGAAAGTGACAACAATTATAGTACTATTGCATTTTATTGCCACCTAAATTACCAACATTCATACATGTTAACAAATATCTTTAAATTAACAGTTATGAAAAACAATCTGAGCTAGCAATTTACTCTACTGAGTGAAGCCTGCAGCCACTGCTCCTTTGAGTCACTGTTTAAAAAAATGCTAAAAGTAGACAAATGAATGTTAAAAATTGCTACATTTGTTGCTAGTTGCTTTTCGAAAAAAAAAAAAAGTTGCTAGGGTAGTATGAAGAGTTGCTAAATCTAGCTACACACTTGCTAAATTGGCAAAACTTTGTATAACCACAGAGCATAGAATCACCCAGAGGTGACATTCTAGTACAACTTGGTAAACAGCCACTAGATGGCGCGGCGGCCATTTTGGAATAAAAACTCCAATAGAACAACAGCAAATTATGTCTGTAAAATAAACTATTTAAAGTGCTGATGATTGTCATAGTAAGTGTTGTATTGTCGTTTTTCGGGTTGTATCTCACCTTAAATTAGCCTTTTAAATAAATCATTGAAAAACAAATCAGCTGCTTGCCGCCTCAAATTAACACTGTATCGCGCTGTTCGTCCAGCAGGGAGCGCTGACGCGCCTCGGTTTGGTTTGTGACGCGCTACTATTAAACATCACGAAGAAGCGCGAGAGCGAAGCGGCAGTGAACATGGCGGAAAACAGGGAGAAAGGTTTACAAGACTACAGAAAGAAATTACTGGAGCATAAAGAGATTGACGGGCGCCTCAAAGAGTGTAAGTTCGATGTTTTTCTGTTCACGTCAGACTGTCATTGAGCAGTTTGACATCTTCATAGGCTGTTGTTTGCGTTATCTCAGCAGCCTGTACTGTAAGTCGCTTTGTCATGCAGTGCTGAAATCAATTAGCCGCTAATGGTAACAGCTGAAATAATCCATAGATCCCCTTTAAATTCATAATTAGAGACACACAACATGATTATACGTATCTCCCGATCTGAAAACATCATATATTATAAAAAAAGAGCCTTCAATACAGCTGTTTTCCAGTATCATGCTATCTCACGATAACATTTAGCATCTCTGACACATGAAGCTGATGGAAGTTGAACTTAATGTTTGCACATGTAAATAAACGCTCTGTGTTGCAGTGAGAGAGCAGCTGAAGGAGCTCACTAAACAATATGAGAAGTCTGAGAATGACCTGAAGGCTTTACAGAGTGTGGGGCAGGTAAGATCTGCTCTGTAAATCATTGTTTTTCTTATTTCCACATTAGGGATTTGACTATATCAGTGCATTTATAACGTTATTTAAATTGTTGCATTGTCTTTGTAGATTGTCGGTGAAGTGCTGAAACAGCTGACTGAGGAGAAATGTAAGGCCAGATTCTCTTTATTGAGCTGTAGATAATTATAGTTTGTGTCTATCTGTTCATTGTTTAATGTATTCTTCTTTTGCAGTTATTGTTAAAGCAACTAATGGACCACGATATGTGGTTGGATGTCGCAGACAGGTGAGCATGTACATGCATACGCGCACACATACAGTTTCAGTAAAAAGTTTTGAAAAAAATTACTTTTTTGTTACACTCATATTAGGTTTTCACTAATGATGCTGAAAATTCCAGTCAAATTATAGAAAAATACCGTTTTAAATTGTATCCACAAAAAATTAACTGTTCAGCTATTATATGTTTGTTAATCTTTTACAATAGTAGTTTATTGTATTGATGGTCAGATAAATCCATTATTTATCCAGCGATAAAACCATATGCAGATTAGAATTTTCAATATTAAAAAAGTAATATCAATTCTAAACGTGTGTGTGTGTGTGTGTGTGTGTGTGTGTGTGTGTGTGTGTGTGTGTGAGTAAAAGTAATTTTAGAACGAAAGAAATAAAGTAATCTCAACAGAGAATTTATTAAACTAAACATTTAGGTCCAGTCAACAAAGAGACATGTTTATTTGTATGTGTAAAACCTTTGTATCATATTGCTGTTTCGTCAAGATTGATCTGGTTTATAAATATGATGACGCACAAAACAGGGGCGGAAATGTGCGCACGCCACTTCTCACGCAAAAATACTGATCTATATTAACTTATTTACCTTAAGTAAAAATATTAAGTAAAATACTGACCTAAATGAACCACTTTAAATCATCATTTGAGCCATAATAATTTAATAAATAATTAAAAATTTTGTTCTAAAAGTATTCTGGTGTGAATTCATTTTTAGAAAGGTTTCTATGCAAATTTAGACTAGTTTTTTAATTTAATTATTTTTTCTTTTAAAGTACCAAAGTGGATAAATGTCAAAAATAGTTTGTCTACCAATAATGCCTTTTATTATGTCTACCAATAATGCCTTTTATGTATGTATGTATATACATACATACATACATACATACATACATACATACAAGTATATAACTGTTGATTAATATTTTCATTGGCTAAACTTACAAATACAATTTTGTGTCTTAAATATAACACTACAATAACTTACTATGTTCTGAACTGTTGTATGTTTGAACTCATGATATTTTCAATAAAAGAAGCCTGTGTTTGTTATTGAACTTAATATTGAGAAAAAAGACAAATGCTTCTAAAATTAAAATGTGAAAGTATCAAAATAAACACAACAGTATTTTGTAGAGAGATGCTTGTAAAGCTAATTAAAACCTAGATGTTTTTTTTTTCAGTTTGATATTTAAGTATGTTTTATATAGCTCATAATTG